GTAATAGGAGCCTACATAAGAAAAAGACCCAAAAATTGGGACTGTCCCTCTAAAATCGGGACGTCTGGTCACCCTAGGTACCTGGGTTCTGAGGTTGTTGCCGGTCTCACTGGGATAAATGGCGAGTGGCAGCCCCAACAGCTCCTTGGTGTCCTCAGTGTCTGGCAGCTCCAGCAATCCCTGTGGGTCTCTGGAACTGTAGCAGACTCCGTCAGGTCCAGGCTCCAGCAAAGAGGGTGTAGGAGGGAGACGTACTGCTCTCTGGCAGCAATCCCCCAACTGAGCTGGATGGCCGGCTATATATGTATATATAGTTATAGTTATAGTTTAGTTATATATTTGCAGTTTCTGTCCCACCCCTTTGCTTCCAGCGGGGCAGCTGTGGGTATCCTGGCTCTGCCCACCAGGGGGCAGTTGCAGTTCTCTCCCCGTCTGTCAGGGAGGGAGACCGCACTCCATCTCTACATACCTTAGTTTCAGGATCTACAGCAAAAGATTAGAACAGAATTGCTGATTTGCACAAAACTATTTCAATGATTTATGTATTTAAACCTGAGGGCCTGATCCAAAATCTACAGAAATCACTATGACCCTTACCTGTGACTACAGAAATCAATCTGAACCTTTCCAATGACTTGAATGGACTTTAGATCAGGTTTGTATATAGCAATATAACTATTTTAAAATCTTTACCATCAATGGTTAATTAAATACAGAAATTTAATAATAAATTATACATAGATCAGGCTAATAGCTGGAAGCTGGCTTCCACCTTTGTTATGCCTCATAATACTGTACACATAAAACTATAGTCTTGTTTAAGAATTGTGGGAATGGCAATGGGTAAGGAAGGAATTGTCTAGAAAGATAAAGTGTGTTGATTTAAGGCTCTTCTGAACACTGTCATGCAAATGCAGCATGTTTACACTATTCTTATATATTGGCACATACAAAATCCTATGTTAAAAGAATATGAAGGTTGTAAAATCAAGGACTCAGAAGTCAGGAAATGAGAGAATTAAAAAAAAAATCCAGTCAGAGGCAGACACTTAGCATGGTACATTTCAGCAGAAATGGTTAAAGGTTGGCAAAGTTATAAGCAGCTGACAATGGTGGTATAATAAAAAGAGTTAGGCAATTTTCACAGTAGGAATTGATACCAGATCCACCTGTAAGGGCAGTCTTAGCAATTTTGGTGTTTCACATTTCACCATTAATGCGAGAGGAGCTTGGTAGCAGTGAGGGCCATTAAGGGATGGAGTCGCATATACTCCAGTGATCATATTTATGTCCCATTCATTTCCCAACTGTGATCATCACCAGGCAGCTTGATTCCCTCATACTGACAGTACATGCAGAAAACCTGCAGGAGCAGATCTCCTTTTTCAGCTTGGAAAAGAGACAACGAAGAAGGAATATGATAGAGGTCTATAAAATCATCATGCCTAGTGTGGAGAAAGTAAATAAGGAAGTGTTATTTACTCCTTCTCATAACACAAGAACTAGGTGTCACCAAATAAAATTAATAGGCAGCAGGTTTAAAACAAACAAAAGGAAGTATTTCTTCACACAGCACACAGTCAACCCATGGAACTCTTTGCCAGAGGATGTTGTGATGGCCAAAACTATAACAGGGTTCAAAAAAGAACTAGATAAATTCATGGAAGATCGGTCCATCAATGGCTATTAGCCAGGATGGACAGGGATGGTGCCCCTAGCCTCTCTTTGCCAGAAGCTGGGAATGGGCAACAGGTGATGGTTCTTGATGAATACCTATTCTGCACCAGGTGTGAAGCACCTGGCATTGGCCACTGCCAGAAAACAGGATACTGGAGTAGATGGACCTTTGGTCTTACTCAGTATGGCCATTCTTATGTTCTTCTGTTAATCCAATATTTGTTCCATGTAGGGGAGGTTTCAAAACTGGGCAGGTTTTGTCACTGATTTTTGTTGACTCAGTTCTGCACTCATATGGGCGCCCTTTGAGTGAACACATATGAATGTAATTTGGTCCTTAATTTTACATACATATCAATGGATATTTCCAAAGAGGGGAAGTCTCTGACAAAATAAATGTATCTAAATTTTACAAGAAAAAAAATAGTCTATGGGCCAAAATTTCTTCTTTACACTGACATCAGTGGAGTTACTCTGAATTTACACCACTGTAAAAAAAGAACAGAATTTGGCCATCATTTTTTTTATTATGATAGCCCAATCTCAGCTCCTTAGGTTGTAATTTCTTCTATCTGGGTCCAGTCCAGTTGTCTTCTCTTATTTTAAGGTAGTGTTGTTGGCCTTTCTGCCCTTGTTTCTCTGTGAGGCCGACGTTTAGAAGTATCACAATATTCAAATGGGTCCTTAAACACACATTCAGAGCAGGCCTTGTTATGACTTTAAAGTGGTGCTCTTGTGCCCCTCCCCTTTCCCATACACACAAAATATCTATTCTAAGCCCTGCCTCTCTCTCCTTGCTGCTGGTGGTCCTGCCTTCCCTCCTTAGTGTCTCTAGCTACTGCCTTTCCTGCCCTGTAGTCTCTGTCTACTTACCACATCTACTGGTGTTTAGGGGAAAAGAGCTCTGCTATTTTAGTGAGTGGACAGAATAGTGGCTCCCCACATGTATTACTGCAGTGAATGGCTGCCATGAGTGAACACCAATTGCTGTCTTCTCCATCTGCAAGTACCTCCAAGAACTTCCTGAAGTCAGGGAAGAGATTTAGCAGCTTTCCCCACCTTCTGCTGGTCCTCTGCTCTCCCTTGTGGGATCCTATGATGAGGTGTACAAACCCCACACTGGGACATAAGGGGTTAAGGAGCAGTTCAGGCCCAGGTGATGCTACCCCACTGCACTTGCTGAGCCCGCTGCAACTGGAGGAGAAGCCTGAAAGGGAGCCAGAAAGCTCAGAAGGGGGACAGAGGGGATAGGAGGACAGACCCATTTTGAAAGCTTTTGAAGAAGGATACAGCAGAAGTCCTTACTGCAAAGGAGGGGTCTGCAAGCAGCAGTTACCGCAGGTCCTAGATCCAGGGAGGAAACTCAGGTGAGAGGGTTCTTTCTCTCTTGGGCTACAGTGAGAGAAGTCTGGGAGCCTGAGTTCTGAGCTGGGAGCCTGACTGGAGATGGGGACTGATCAGGGACTGCAGCCTGCCTGAAACTCTGGATAGATGGAGAATGTGATAGACCCTAGTCAGATGCAACCCAGAAACTTTGACCATTGTGAAGCTGTAGCGAGCCTGCAAAGAAGAAGACTACCACCGGCTGAGCCCAGCTGAGCTGAAGAGTCTGTTGTTTTTACTGTTTTCTGTTGGATTTTAAGCAAAGGACTTTGAGGTCTGTGGGGAAGCAGGAGGTAAGAAGTGGTCCATGGAGGCATCCCCAAAGTGCTCTGGCGTGTTTGCTATTACTGCCTCTTGCAGGGCCCTGAGTTGGAGCCTGGTGGAGAGAGAGGGCCCAGGCCCTTTTCTCTACTTTCCTACTTGGGCAGGATAGATACATTGTAAGCTGCTGAGTCAAGGACATACCACCGCCAGAGGCCTAGAGGCAGGCTGAAGACCCTTTCCTTTCTGGGGATGTTGAATTCTATATATTTTGTTGGACTCCATTTCCCCAGAACAGGAGACCGTAATTGGTGACCTGGCTGGTGTGATGATTCTCTACCTACCTTAAGGTCAGCTGACCTTCTGGATTGGTGCCCTGTGTAATGATCAGATGTAGTGGGGGGATTTCAAAGTCTGTCTTATGCTGGTGCCTTACCAGGACTGGAAATTAATCAAGTTGAATGTCCTGATTTCTTACCTGTCAACCCTGAGGACAAAATATAAGTAGACATCCCAGGGACAAAAGGGCCAGGCACAAAGTGGCTGCCAGGGCAGCTCTACAGTCAGCACTTATGTCTCTCCTCTCATGCTAATCTTTGCAGAATGCTTTTCTGCCATTCTCTTAATAGAGCTGCAGTGAGGGGAGGGAAAGAGACTGGTGGTGGATAGTAAAACCTACATTCATGCTTCTAAGCCAAGCCTGCTTGAGAGTGCACCAAAGGATTGTGCAGGGAGGTGGCTACAGAAGTGTGGGTAGACAAAATTTGCAAAGGGTGATTCTGTCAGTATAATTGGAGGATTATAGGGCTTGTTGTTTTCATAGGCTGATTTTGTCCTAAGCCAGAGGGCTCCCTTAATTTCCCCTGCACCCCTTACTCCAGTAAGTTGGCTTCCCATCAGGAACAGTGAGGCTAAGGGGTAGGAGACACAATTTGCTGCACTCATTGGTCTGAGGCAGGGAATTGGTGCTCAGGTAATCTATGAAGTAGAGAGAGCCTAAATATCCTATACAAAAATAAGAGGTTTCAGAAGAGCTGCATACCTAGGTAGACAGACAGGCAGACAGTACCCAGCAGTCAGCTCTAGTATCAGTGGGTCTGTGATTATGAGAAACAAAAATTATGGTAAGCTATAAAATCCTTTCTCTTGAATTCTCCCAGCCCTAAGAGGAACAAGATTCTAATGATAAGTGATGTACTATTCACTTGTTTTTTTTTTATGGAAACATTTAGGCTCCTGTAACTCTCATCTTAATGTATTTTTCAACTAGAGTAAATAATAATTATGAATTATTACTGCTTAGTACAAGTCTTACTCCACAGCAGAATAAATGGTGGCACCAGCTCTTAGCTGTAACTAGTTTTTGGTCTAACTCTAATATAGAAAATCCTATTTTCCTGTGGGGTAATGTTATCATATTTCATTTGATAGTGCACATTGTCCTAGATTTAATGATCTTCTGCAGTTGATGATGATGATGAACAACTATGCAATGAGATGTCAGGTTTTGACTATGCCTGTTTGCAAACTCGGGTAATTATGCTCCGTTGTCTAATTGCTTTTTTTATTGATATTTTGCTGACATGTTTTTAAGCAACATTTTGTGATTGCAGATAACTAATGGCACAGATCTCTGCTCATTATCATACTTTTACATTTGATTTGTCTGATTGCTGCAGGTGGAAACAATAGGTGATGCATACTGTGTTGCAGCAGGGCTCCATAGGAAGAGCCTTAGTCATGCGAAACCCATTGCTTTGATGGCTCTGAAGATGATGGAACTTTCAGAAGAGGTACTTACACCGGACGGGAGACCTATTAAGGTAACCTCACTGCTCTGTATTCCCAGCTAGTCACTGGAACCTATCCGTATATTTGATCAAGTACAGTCCACCAGATTCTGGATGGTGATGCAAGGGAAGTCTGTTCTTAGTTATGAGGAATTTGCAGCATAATCAAGATGTCCCCATATGCGACAATGTGTCTTTTGTGCATATTAATTTTTTTGATATTCCTCAACAGTCACATAGGGCTCTATCAATCTATTGTCCCCACTGCCAAACTGCTGACAACCCTAATAATGAAGCTGTTGGGGGGTTACCTGCCCTCTTTGTCAGGCAGAACCTCCTTCCCTATTTAGTTTGTATTGCTTCCTCATGGTCTGGCATCACAGACTAGCAAGGTAAGGAAAACCATAGATCTTTTTGTAGGAATTCCCAACTCAGTGTCAGTTGTGTTGCTTCTTACCATGCCCTGCTAACCTTTCAGCTTGTTTGCATCTGGGCTGGGGTGTCTGATGGGGAACTTGGTCACAGATGCAGAAGGAATTGGATAGGGACACACATGGCTTCCTTTCCCAATGGTCATGTCATGTGTGGGTTTTACTATGTGTGCTCAATGGAAAAAAATGCCCTGGAATGTCCAGTTTTTTAATCGGACCCCCTGAACAACATGAAATAAGGAAGACTCATGCACATATCTGTATACAGTACTGTACTCCACTGCTGTGAAAGGGCTTTTTCCTACTATTATACTGTTTTCCTGATTAAATTGCATTTCCTGAAATGCAGACTTTTAATTTTAAAAGGCAAAGCACTATCTAAGAGAAACTATTATAGAAAATGGGAGAGTTGCATGTCGAGCAGTTTTCAGGGCAGACTGCTTGACAAAGGCCATGCCAGGGAGAAGGCTAGGCTGATTCCCCCCAGTGGCACTTTGCATGTTCTCTGAATCACATGATGAAGAGTCTACTCACTAGAGCTGGTTGGAAAATGAGGGGGGTTTCAATAGAAAAATTTATATTTGGGGGCAAGAACTCAAATACCAAAAAATGTTGTTGGCCAAAACTAAAAATATTTAGGCAAATCCTCCAAAAAATCAGTTCAGAAATGCTGCTGCGGTGTCTCCTGGGAATTGTTTTGTGGGTGCCTTATGCGCTCTCGGAGCAAATTACAATCTCCCATGCACCACAGTGCCATGATGCACCACCACCCATTTCCAAGCATGAAAGTCCCAGGCCATGGCAAATCATGGGGGATCTGGTCTATCCTGGGAGCCCAGTCCGTAGATGAGAATGGGGACCTAAGGCAACCAAAGTACAAATCCCATGAGGTAACGCGGTAGCATCTTCACATAGAAATATTTCAGTTTTAGGGATTTGAGGGAGAAGGCGGGTTAACAAAAAAATAAATTCTGCAGAAAACAGACACTTTTTGCAGAAACCCCAATTTTCTGTCAAAAACCTATTTAGGTGGAAATTGTTCATCCAGCTCTAGTATTAGAGAGACAAGATTGGTGAGGTGATTTTTTTTTTATTGGACCAGCTTTTGTTAGTGAGAGAGACAAGCTTTTGAGCCCCACAGAGCTCTTCTTCAGCTTGAAAGCTTGTCTCTCTCACCCACAGAATTTGGTCCTGTAAAAGATATTACCTCATCCACCTTGTCTCCCTAATATATTGGACTGACATGGCTACAACTACTCTGCATACAGCTCTCATATGGGCATTTCAAGATGGGGGCGGGGTGGGAAAGCATAAACAGGCACACATTGTTCCTACGGACAACGAAAAGGCAGCATTTGACCTATGGACATTTTCAATTGATTCATTCGATCCTATTTTTGAAGGACCGTTTCTCCCAGATGATTGGATAAACAAAATAATTCCCAAACAATGAAGGCTGATTAATAATTTGTAGCGAAGGTGTAACACTTGGGAAGGGCTGCCTTCTAGATCATGGGTTCTCAAACTTTTTTTTCTGAGGCTCCCGCAACATGCTATAAAAATTCCCCAGCCCACTTGTGCCACAACAACTGTTTTTCTCCATATTCAGTAGATTTAAAGCTAGGGCTGACATTAGGGGGTAGTAAGCAGGGCAGTGGCTCAGGGCCTGACTCCACAGGCGGCTCCGCGAAGTTAAGTTGCTCAGGCTTTAGCTTCAACCCTGGGTGGCAGGGCTTGGGCTTCAGTTTTCTTCCCTAGACACCAGCAAGTCTAACATAGGCCCTGCTCTCTGGTTTATTTTGGGTTTATCCTGAAACCTACTCATGGCTCTTAGAGGGTCTTGGACCCCTGGTTGAGAACCACTATTCTAGACTACTTGTTCTAGATATCGGTTGTTGTTCTTTTAAAATAAATTGCTGTGATCATGGTGATATTTTCAGGTGTGTGACTGACTAGAAGGGTCATAGTGTTGACCAATTCTTTTTCCCGCTACCCAGAACAGGTTCACAGACTGACTCTTGATCTGAAGAAGTATGTTGTTTATTCACTGCTTCAGTGAGTGATCAGTCCACTGAAACAGGATACAGCATAGGATTAAATGCAAGTGCACACCCACATTCAAGTGCTTGCCTTAAATACGTTCATAGAATCATAGAACTGGAAATGACTTCAAGGGGTCATCTAGTCCAGTTGCCTGCACTCAAGGCAGAACTAAGTATTAGCTAGACCATCCCTGACAGGTGTTTGTCCAACTTTCTCTTAAAAATCCCCAATGATGGAGATTCCACAACCTCCCTAGGCAATTTATTCCAGTGCTTAACCACTCTGACAGGAAGTTCTTCCTAATGTCCAACCTAAGCCACCGTTGCTGCAATTTAAGCCCATTGCTTCTTGTCCTATCCTCAGATGTTAAGAAGAACAATTTTCCTCCCTCCTCCTTGTAACAACCTTTTATGTACTTGAAAACTGTTATCATGTGCCCTCTCCGGCTTCTCTTCTCCAGACTAAACAAACCCAATTTTTTCAATCTTCCCTCATAGGTCATGTTTTCTAGACCTTTAATCATTTTTGTTGCTCTTCTCTGGACTTTCTCCAATTTGTCCACATCTTTCCTGAAATGTGGTGCCCGGAACTGGACACAATACTCCAGTTGAGGCCTAATCAGCACAGAGAAGAGCGGAAGAATTACTTCTCATGTCTTGCTTACAATACTCCTGCTAATACATCCCAGAATGATGTTTGCCAACACCAAGCAAAAATTATGAT